ATGTATGTATGTATGTATGTATGTATGTATGTATGTATGTATGTATGTATGTATGTATGTATGTATGTATATATATGAAGTTTATTTCTGAAGTTCCTTCAGAGACAATATATTTTGATTTTCCTAATATCTTTTGCACTCTTTTGCAGGCTTCTAATTCAAAAAGTAGGAAAAGTAAATGGAAAGCAACTTGGACAAAGTTGTTGCATAATAAAAGAAATGGGGAAAACACACAGGAATAGCTATATGGAAAAAAAGTTTTCCTGAAATATGTTCCTAACCCCACTTTTTCAGTATGAAGTTTCTATTTGGATAGGGTGAATTCTGTATTTTTATTTATTTATTCAGGATATTTCAGGACAATTACAAAGTTCATAACAAGGCTAGGTAATTAGGAAATCACCATCATCACTTGAGATCAATTGCCTATAAAAACAGAGACAGGAATATACAGGGCAGAATGCTAAATATGCCTAATTTTTCTCAGCTCACATTCATTTTTTGCATCTTACAGTGTCGAAGATTTGCACCCAGTGCGAGATGGAACACAAAGCAGATGGCATCATGGAGCAGATGTGTTCCAGTGACTTTGGTAAATCATACACACAAAGCATCAGCAGGAATCTGAGACCAGGAGCTGTTGGGAATATGTCAAATATTTGTTATTCTTACTTCCTTTTCTCTGCTTGAACTCCACTTATTTTCAACCAGATCCTTCAGCAGCTTCCAGATTGTTTCTGGGATCAAATCAATATGATTTTTTTTTACTCACCGTAGTCCTAAATTCTGACTCCAGGAAAAAGCCTTTGTCTGAACCCATCTCATCTCTTAATAGATTGAATTAGGATATTTTCTCACATTTCCAAGCAGCCTTGTCACTTAGGTCTGCCTGATTTGTTATCTTCCAACATCCTTGAATATTCTGATTTTTAAAAAACAAAGTTTTAATAACAGCCTGATCATATAATTCATATAATGGTGGTGTATTCCCTTATAATTATTAGAATTTCCAGTACTTTTTATTTTTCTTTTGTTGATTTTGTAGTGCTGCATTTAAAAGGGTATATCATTTATTTGTTGCCTTGAATAGTCCTTGTTGAAGAACCAGGGTCTACATTTTAAAAATAATCATAATAAAATATTTATGTAGTTATAGTTCAGTCCTTCAAAAGATGAGATCAGCTAGATACTTAGAATAATCAATCTAGGCCAGTGTTTCTCAACCTTGGCAACTTGAAGATGTCTGGACTTCAACTCCCAGAATTCCCCAGCCAGCGCTGGCTGGGGAATTCTGGGAGTTGAAGTCCGGACATCTTCAAGTTGCCAAGGTTGAGAAACACTGATCTAGGCGAACCGAAGATTGAAAATAACCGTGGTTAAAGATGGCCGATTTTTCCTTATTAAGGAACTAATGTATAGGAGACAAGATGATACCAGCAGCAGAACATGATACATTTTTCATGTACATTTTCACACCCTCAAGAGAAGCTAGGTCTACCCAGACTAAGGCAGCTGCTTCATGAAGGCAATTACGTGCCATGAAAGGAAAGCAGTTTATTACCACAGGCGAAGGTGGAGATTAAGAGATGGGCTTGCAGGATATTCTACTTCTGGTGTCACATTAAGGTTGTCAGTCTTGACTTCCATTTAATTCAGGGATGAGCACCAGTTTCTCCCCCCCCCCCAAAATGAAATAGCTTTTTTTTTAATAGTTCAATTCAAAAACACAATTTGTAGCATTCCCTTAATTTTTTTCCCAGGGTTTCCCCCCAAAAGTTGTTATAAATCAATACCTGACCTTCCTTTATTTCCAGGCTGTACGTGGTAATATAATGCTCCTCCCAAAGTAGCACATTTCCACCCACATAACCAAATATAAATTTCTTCATGCATTTTGGATGATCCAGTTCTTGTGCCTTTTGGAAGATCTGTTCATATGCGATATTCTATTCGAAACAATCTGTGCTAAGTCACCCAAAGCATTCCCTCACGTGGGAAAATCAAAAGATGAAATCAGTAGTATATCACTATATAAGTACAATAATTCCCCCAAATCCTATACCTGCATTCAATGCTGTTGTGCTCTATAAACTTTTTAACAATCCAAAAAAGCTCTGAATTCAGACTGTAAAAAAAATTGGATAAGCTATATCTTCTCCAAATACTCTCACTACTGAAATGGTGGTGGACTTCAGGGACGACCAATGGGACATAGCTAAAAATCTGGTAGCTGGGCCTTGAAACAAATAGACATCTGTCATATGCAAAAAAGTCGCCAGTAGGAAAATGTGGCAAGGGATGATTAAATCACTCCCATTGCAGCATCAACCACCATCTATCTATTGTCTTTGGTCTTCTGCTAGCATTTTAAAGCTCAAGTCTTAAAGAAATTCATAAAATCAAAGGAACTATAGTAAACTCCATAATTTGCATGCTTACAATTTTATCTACTTCTCTAATTCTACCTTCACTGACTTCCCTCCTTAAGTTGTAATGTCTTAAGGCGATTTATGATCTATCCTCTCTTCCACAGTGGTGAAGATGCGCATCAAGGAGATCAAAAAGGAAAATGGGGAGAGGCGATTAGTGGCCACTCAAAAGAAAAAAAAACTGCTCAAAGTGGGGCCACTGAAACGCAAGGACACCAAAAAGCTGGTACTGTATATGAAGAATGCAGGCACCTGTCCATGCCCTCAGCTTGATGACCTCAGTGGCAGCTTTCTGGTTATGGGCCGAAAAGTGGGTGGCAGACTGCTAGTCTTGGCCATTTACCGCTGGGAGAAGAAGAACAAGGAAATGAAATTTGCAGTTAAGTTCATGTTCTCTTATCCATGTTCCTTGCACTATCCATTCTTTTATGGATCAGACCCCCACTGAAAGCCCCACACACAAATATCCTTTTTCTGTGGGCGGCTGACATCAAGATACAAGCTGTTAGAGCCCATTTTTCTGAGGATTCTGTTTTCCATAGGATAATTGGGTTTGATTTTTAAAATATTCTGAAGAATCCTGCACGTTGTTGATACTCATATAACTTCAGAGATCTTACAGAAATTCTTCCTTAGCCTTGAAATACCATCAGCTGCCAAATAAGAAAAGTCTATGTGGCTTTGAATAATAACATCATCACATCTCAGTGTATCTTCTTTTAATCTGAATTGCTCAGTGTTTTAATGGAAACATATAATTAAACGAACATTTGAAATAAATTCCTCCATTTTCATTTCATTCTAATAAAAAGTCTTAAATACATAAAGATTAAGAGCAGGAAATCCATGTTTAATGAACCATTCATTTATACATTCTTTTAAACCTCTCTAAAGCGATTTATTACATTATTTTTTTAACAATAGGCCAGGAATCAGATTCCAAGTATGGTAGATCACCGTATTCACATGTACTTGAAGAAATATACATTGCTCAAACTAGGATTCTACTAACCTGACCAGATTTTGGGCTTTCTTATCTTCAATTCAAACAAATAGAATTTCAAGCAAAGATTGAGCAATTTTTTGAGATGGTGCTAAAAGGCAGTCAATAGTTTTGAGCAAGGGATTCTTTACCCATAATTTCACTTATATACATCCCTGCCATTAGCATCTCTACCCTGAAACATGTGGGCATATTTTAAGGCCAAGTTACTGGATATGTTTTGAAACTATTTCTAATATTGTTCTGGAGGCTGGCAATGTGAGTATCAGTATTGCTGTGTTTGCCTTCAAGGAAGGATGCCAAACCAACCAGGCCTTCCAGGTGGCTATCCACCATACAGGATGCCAGACCACCAAGAGAATAGATGCCAGCCAGATGGCAAACAGGGTGAAGTTGCTTTCCTTGTCTCCTACAGCTGGGCACACAAATGCATGTATAGCATTTGCATGGCTGGGAGATAGGACAACTGCCTAAAACAAAGAAAATGGAAAGGAATAATCCTTCTCGCACAAAGATACATTTTTCAGAGGCAAAACTTTCAGAGAAAAAAAGTGGATGAGAAGAAATATCTTTTCCAAATGGGATAAAAGCTTTTTTAGACACTCTTAACAGTGTATCTCAACCTGGCAAGTCTAAGATATGTGGAGTTTGCAAAATTCACATATTTAATTTTTTTTATTTTTAATCCCACCTTTATTATTTTGTAAATAACTCAAGGTGGCAAATATATGTAATACTCCTTTGTCCTATTTTCCCACAATAATCATGAGGCAGGTTGAGCCAGAGTGATTGGCCAAAGTCATATACCTAAGGTAGGACTAGAATTCTCACTCTCCTGGTTTCTAGCATTGTGCCTTAACTACTAGAGCAAACAGTCTTACGTGACACACACACACTGTGGATATCGAGATTGCTTCTGCCATCATTGTTGCCACAACTCTTTTAAATATTTGTCTACAACAGGTAAGTTTTCATAGATGAAAAAATGGACATTTCTGAAGTTTTAGGACAAGAATGGGTGGCAGGGGGAAGTTGGGAGAAAAAAACCTGATAGGTAGGTGATTTGCACCAGATAGAATCTGAAAAAGGAACACTTTGAAAGTTGTGTCTTAAAAATCAGTTATGTAGGAAAAAAGCATTATATCGCACAGGCCCTAAATATTTTCTCATAGACTCTCTGAGTTTATATTTTAATTTGCTATCCATCTATGTCTTTTATTTTACTTTCCCCCCCTAAAAGGTATTCTTCTTTGGGTTATATGATGACATTGCAAGCAACATATTAAATAGTACTGGTGGCTTAGTTTCAATTCTCTATCCTCCACTGTATTCCAGACCTTATGTTGTGCCAAAATATGTGGGATTGCCACCAAAGATACAATATTTTGGAGTAATGAGAACTTTTAGTTCCTAAATCTCCAGGTTTAATTACTTCTAGTGTAATCTGTACTTTTCCTTGCAAGAAGATTGCCTATTTGCTAATTAAATAAAATGAAAATTGATTGTTAAAAACTGACAAAATACATTTCTCCAATTAAGCTTCACAACTATTGCATTGAGTGCCCCCTACAGACATAGATCAAGTCTTTTCCTCATAAAATCATCTCAAACACACACACAAATACAGTTTTGAAAGTTGGAAGGATAGATGCGTTGCTGACACAAGGAAAATGACCAGTTCTGGGATTCCACTTATTCAACTTTCCCTATCAATTGCTAAAACATCCTCTTAAATTACTTTCATGACAGAACTTTTGTCTATTCTTATAAACAAAACCTCTTCATTCTGCTCTCAGACTAATGCAACTCAAACTCATTTGAAAGGTTAGGGTTCTCACTCCAAAGATAAGTTATAGAAAAAACATCCTACATGGGGGTTTTTTTCCACACAACCACCACCAACATTATCCTGAAGAACAACTTTAAAGCTGACCACCAGGAAACAGAACTTTCAGTCAGTGAAATCTGAGCATACCCATAAATTGTATGTTTTGATTTATAGTTCCTTTACATCATTTTATATCTATTAAATCTGCCAATGCGAGACCCACCTTTGCTTAAATACTTCCGGGGGGGGGGGAATCATTTGCAGTTACTCTATTTTCTTCTCAACTCTACCAATAATGAATATTTTTTTTAATTCAAGCGAGAATAGCAATAGCAGTTAGACTTATATACCACTTCATAGGGCTTTCAGCCCTCTCTAAGTGGTTTACAGAGTCAGCATATTGCCCCCAACAATCCGGGTCCTCATTTTACCCACCTCGGAAGGATGGAAGGCTGAGTCAACCCTGAGCCGGTGAGATTTGAACAGCCGAACTGCAGTCAGCTGAAGTAGCCTGCAGTGCTGCATTTAACCACTGCGCCACCTCGGGCTTCATCAAGCTAATTTACTTTCCAAATGATCCTTCAGGTTTTTAACTAGAAAGCCATAAACAAAATGACACACATTTTTAATATAGAAAAGCAATTAAGCATAAACATAAAATGACCTGGGGCTGGCTGAGACCTCAGGGTCTCATTTTGTAACAGTCCTGACCTGACCCTGGCCCCATTCAGCCCCCAGCGTGACTAATTTTTTTGCAAGTCCTCTGACTCTGGGGAGGCCAACAGCAGCAGTGGCAGTATTTTCTGATATTTCCAATAAAATGGCAATTAATAAATACTGTAATAAAAACTTTACATTATCTTAGCAAGAGAATTTGGCGACAACTATCAGGATAAATTGATCTATCCCAGTGCAATTGCCTATGTGCAGTTCAGGGATGGGGGACAGGAATTCCTCATTTGCTCAGGTTTTTAACAAAACATACTGCACCAGTCATAAGGGAAATTATTAGAAATATTGTATGAGTGGTGTACAAAATCTGAAGTAATTTATTATTACTGCTGAATTGTTACTTACATAGGCCTCCTATCCCCAGCAGCTGACTAGTTTTTAAATGCTTATAAGTGGGTGGGATGAATAGCTCTATTTACCTCTTCTATGAATTAACAACTTTCAAGCCTAATTGAAGGTGTTGTTGCTGAGAGTATTATACAGTATGTGTTTCACAGACATAGAGGAGCCATTGATCGGACATGACTGAATGGTTGCTAATGACGTTTTATAGACACCAAAGTCTCCACTGTTTTTGACACTTAAAAAAAACAGGAGGAAGTAAACAAGAAGTTTTATCTTTTTTCTAATTTGTAAGTCATGTTTCTCATGGGACCTCCCATCTTTCCACAGAGACTCCTCTCATAGAAACGACTAGATTCCTGGTTTCACCACACATTACATATTAAAAAAATAATGCAGTTCAACAATTGGGAAGCTGGCATAAAGAGAAATGCCAACCTTCAGCATCATCTTTATGATACTGTACTTCAAAACTTCACCTGGAAATAGCCACCTATCCAGAAAAAGGACAAAGCTTAGTAGAAGAAGCAGTGAACTAGGGGTGCTTGGAGAAATGGATGGTAGTTGTTGGTGGTAGTCTGGAGCAAAGAATAGCAGTAGAAAATCCTTTCTCTGCCCCGACAATCATTTTATGAGCATCCACAACACGTTCTCAAATGAAACAAGTAACTCAAAAATGTTATGGATGCCTGACATACTGTGAACATTTATAAAAATGTCACTTCATATCTTAAAGACTCCACCTAGTCCTGCAATATATTTTCAGCACTGGAAAACCAAATGCCTTTGATGACTTGTACAACTACAGTGAAAAATGCGGAGATTTAGTTCATCTATTAAGTCAAAAGCATAGTGTTCTGATTCTATTTCCAGCCAGGCTTTGCATTTATGTTTCTAACGTCCCCAAAGCAAAAGACATTCACAGTTACATTCCCATCAGGCATAGCCAATATTTCATCATGGTTGAGTCTCAAAGGGACTGTCTGAGATGCTGTCAGCTCCACACACACAAAACATTTTCTTTTGACATTTAGGATTACATATATTATGCTCCATCTCATATCCCACATGTGTCAGCATGTTAAAGACGCAATATGTCTGTTCTGCAGAAACCCACCGTATCCTGTATTGTCCCAAAGAACTGCTGCCATTCTCTTACTCCCTACCATGCATCCTATATTCCATTGCTCTATCTGCCTAATGATGCTCTTCTTCCAGAAATATTTATCCATAGCAGGGACTCTCTGGTCCGCACAGCAATAAAAATTACCTCAGACTCTTGAAAATGTTGCCTTCACACCCAAGGATATTGTTTATTGGTAGGATATATATTATTCTGCAGTAGTCCAACAATGTCCCACTTCTGTAGACAGAAAGGAAGCTCCCTGACTTTCAGCTGGGCTTTGCTATTAGCAAAAAACCCAGTTAACTACAGCAGCCTCTGCCTTCTAACAATGCAGGAATGAAAAACACACATTTTCCAGACCCTAGTCTGACCATGATAAAAGGGGCTTTAGATTAAAAAATAAAAAATAAAAGTCGG